CAGCCTCAAGTGTCCAGACTTAGAGTTTCCCTTGACAAAAGAGCAACGGGCCACCTGCCTCCTAGTGGCTTTCACCATGGGTACAAGTGTTCACCCTTTTGCCAGTGACATGCCTGATTTGGCTCAGCCCAAACCCTTGATGATAATAAACAGCCCCCCCAAGTACTGAGCACAGACTATCTACTAGGCGTTGTGCTAACCTGTTGCACACTTTATCTCATTCAGCCTCACACCAACCCGCCCAGCGGGGCCCATTGCTCACATTTACAAAGATGAGACAGCCTCAGAGATCTAGTAACACTCCTAAGGCCCCACAATTGATAAGAGGTGGAGCAGGGACTGGAACCCAAGTTCGGGTGAGCTCTGTACCCACAGCCTCGGCCCCACACCGTCCTGCCCCCCCTCCCAGCTGAGGAGTGTGGCCTGCCTGGGGCCTGGGCTGTGGCCATCTCCGAGCCCAGCCACCCTCAGCCACCATGGAAATAACCCCATGGCAGTGGCAGGGTCGGGTTCCCCTGAGGAGGCCTTGGAGGAAGGGGCTGCACTTCCCAGGCTGGGATCTGGGGTGAAGCTTCCAGCTGAAACAGGTGTGGCGCCAAGGACTGTTCTTCAACCAGGTGTCTGGATATTCGGTGGTAGTTATGTGAACCCAAGTCCCTGAGGGAGTGTAAATAAAAGCAAAGCCGCCCTCATTTCCTGTCAATCTTTGGGGGAGGAACGTAACCACAGGTAGGAATCCCGTGCATGATCCTGTTCAGAAAGAGGACTCACTTGTTTTAATGATCAGGTCCGGATAAATGGAGGCAGGCCTAGATTTTTCTCCTGTTTTATCGCTGCGTTGTTTTTAGATGAATTTGCCAGAGAGGGTTGAGTTTGTATCTCGACAGGGCTGTGGTCCACTTGGGGCTCAGGCTCTGCTCAGATCCTGCTTCCTGGGTCTCCCAAGGCTTCCTGGCTTCTGGAGTTGCTCTGGGGATCTCCTGAAGGGGCCTGCCCCCTTTCTCTGGAAGCTTCTGAGTCCACGGTGGCTCTCTTTCCCGCCTTCTGAATCCCACCCAGATGTTCCTCAGCCGCCTCTGTGGTGAGCTCAGAACCTCTGAGGCCACCAAGGACCCTTCCCGTGGGAAAGGGTGGCGTAAAAGGCAGACGCGGGGGCATTTCCAAGCTTTAGTGCGGGCAAGATGCTAGGATAGGGCCCCTTGTTTCTTTTTTTTTTGTTTCAGGGCTTAGGTTACAGATAAATGAGTATTTACACGGCAACATGCTGTCTTATAACAAATTATAAAGGAACTCAAACATTCATAGCATTTCTGAGTGAATGTCAATATACTGAAAGCTAACAAATTGATTACTATAGTCCACAAGTTATCTCAAAGTACTTCTCCAGAGTAAAATTCTTTCTTTGTTTTAATTGAATTTATTGGGGTTACATTGGTTAATAAAATTACATAGGTTTCAGACGCACAATTCTATAACACATCGTCTGTATATTGTACTGTGTGTGCCCACCCCAAGTCAAGCCTCCTTCCATCACCATTTACCCCCCTTGTGCCCCCTTCTACCTGCCTCCACCCCCCTTCCCTCTGGTAATCGCCCCACTGTTGTCTGCGTCGATGAGTTGTCTTTGGACCTCTCCTTTCTGATTGAGCAGAAAGAGTCTCATTGAGACCTCGGAGGGCAAGTTGTCCTGCCTCCGCTCTGTCACCTTCTCATTGTCTCTTCCTTCCTCAAGAGTGGCCTGGCCCCCCTTCACCCCCTCAGTTGAGGGGGGGCCGCACTTCAGTCCCTGACACTGTGATCCCAGTGGAGCTCATGTACTTCCACAGGAAAATCCCCAGGGTTGGACTCTGTTGTCTTTCTGTTTAATTGTGGACCTTGACTTTGAAGCTCAAAAAACCCCGACCCTGACCTTGAACCCTGGAGGACCTAGCTTATGGCGGTGGCCACACTTGCCTCACGTGCTGGCGTGCCTTGCGCAATCATAAGCCAGCCCAGGTATGAGGGGCCCAGGGAGGGTCTGCCAGGTTCTAGCCACAGCTCTTTTTAGGGGGC